GTCCTCCATAAAATGCGCTGCACACATCTGAATATTTGGGTTGAACTGTTCTGGAACAGTGTTGTAAATACAACTTAACCACTGATTTCTAGTCGTGTCCTCTTTTGGAAGACCAAACAAAGTAGTTTCGCTTTCACAACGAAACACACAGCGCCTTCACAACATGGCAGTGGCAACAACAATACTACAGCGAGAATAAAAGTTACACCTTCTTTCTTTGCGTGAACATTTGGGCGGCGTTATGCAAATCTTCCCACATCATGACGTAGACATGTGGGGGTGTGTTAGAACGAGCCATTTTAGGTAGGCGTGGCTGACTCTTAACTTTTATAAAGAATATCTCTTTGGATTTGAGACTTTAGTCTTTGCAACTTTACAGATCTTCTTTATGCACCAAGAGCTTGTAACACTCCAAAGAGAAAGGAAAAATTTAAATCGCATCATATGACCCCTTTAAGGTAATGTGTTTACTCTTACTTTGGTTCGTTGCCTCAAGTTATAGCTGGCATGTGACCTTTTTAGAAATAATTTAATGACAAAAATCCACTGAGGTTGGGTTGGTTCTTCGAGAGGTTGTATATCGCTTGTCTTGATTTAATGCCAGTGAAAAAGAATGGCAGCCGTGTGAGATTTATAGAGTTGTGTTTATTTATTTATTTTCATTTTCACATCTAAATGCATTATCAATCCCCTGCACACATCTGTTGAGCTGACAGTTTTTTTTTTCTTCATGCCTCTGGGCGCTTTGTGCTTGGCCCTTGGCCGTCTGCACTCTTGAGCACTCAACAATTCTGAAGGCCTCAGATCAGCTCTTAATGTCTTAATGGAGCAAGGAACAATGGCTGAATATTGAAAGGATGCTATCTGGCACAAGGGACGAAATTATGAGATTTGTTTCCCACTTCTGTGCACAAGAAAGACCTTGTATCTGTCCCTCACTGTCCCTACATATTTAAATGGTCACATAGCATCATAATAAGCACTATCCAGTTTCTTAGTTTTCTCTTGAAATTCTGCTACTTTTTCTGCTTTTATACAATTGTGCCCTTTTTTATTTTTTATTTTTTTATAATGGCTCATGTGTGATAATTAACTGTTCATTTTCTCATTTGTAATTTGCATTTGATAAAAGTGTCTGTAAATGTACTTTTGTACTATTACACCAACGGTTTTTCACCAATAATGTATTTGCCTTAAGATTTGAAGTACTTCAAAAGAAGTTCGTAGTTAAGGCTATTTAATTGCCATTCAGGTTGCTTATACAGCCTATATAAAACTGACATGAAAATAGAAGGGAAAAAAAAGATTTGAAGTAGCTGTATAGCAGCATGTTTAATCATGCCTTAATGGACTGGTCATTATATTCTCAGAGGGAGCAGGGTTTAGTCAGAGCAGGGTTAGCTCATAATTCAGTCTTGACTGCATTAGTCCAAGAATTCCCAGCTAATTATGCTCAAACATGGATTTGAATACAAGCTCCACAAATATTCATTTTACAGTTCCCTGTGGTATCAGTAATAGATTTCAGAGAATCCTAGCACTTTGTTCCTTCCCTGAAAAAAATATTTTATAATACTTAGATTTAGCTTTTATGGTCTTCCAAGGTGTCTTTATATAAACTCCAGTAATGGCAGTGCAGACATAATGATTGTAATTGCCATTGTCGTGCCTTAATTGACATCACACTGGGCTGTCAGACTTTGTCAACTTTTTTGATAAAAAATAAGCTTTGAATAGAAGGAAGAATAGCAGCACTGTTAACAATGTACAGGTGCATCTCAAAAAATTAGAATATCGTGAAAAACTTACTTTTTTTGTAACTTCTTTCAAAAAGTGAAACTTTCATATATTCTAGATACATTACATGTAAAGTAAAACATTTATTAAAAAGTAAAACATTAGAGCTTACAGCTCATGAGAGTCAAAAATCCGCTTGTCAGCAAATGGAAGCATAAAGTGCTCCAAAATCTCCTGGTAGATGGCTGCATTACCTTTGGAGTTGATAAAACACAATGGACCAACACCAGCAGACGTCACGGCACCCCAAATCATCACTGACTTTGGAAACTTCACACTGGACTTCAAGCAGCTTGGATTCTGTGCCTCTCCAGTCTTCCTCCAGACTCCAGACCTTGATTTCCAAATGAAATGCAAAATTTACTTTTCTCTGAAAAGAGGACTTTGGACCACTGTGCAACAGTCCAGTTCTTTTTCTCCTTAGCCCAGGTAAGATGCTGTTTCTGTTTTAGAAGTGTCTTGGTAGCCCTTTGCCTGAAGACGTCTGAGCGTGGTGACTCTTGATGCACTGACTCCAGCTTTAGTCCACTCCTTGTGCAGCTCTCCCAAGTGTTTGAATCAGCTTTGATTGACAGTATTCTCAAGCTTGCGGTCATCCCTGTTGCTTGTGCACCTTTTCCTACCCAATTTCTTCCTT